TAGTCACAGAAATTCCTAAAGAAGAAAAGGACCCTGCAATGGGTGGAATGGGTGGAATGGGAGGTGGTATGGGAGGTGGCATGTTCTAATTCTCAGAATAGTGCTTTACCATTATTAATGAACTGTGACAGGAAGCTCAAGGCAGGGTTCCTCACCAATAACTTCAGAGAAGTCAGTTGAAAATGACTGAAGAAAAGGCTGGTTGATGTTTAAGAAAATCACTATAACCATCAGTTACTGGTTTCAGTTGACAGTATATAATGGTTTACTGCTGTCATTGTCCATGCCTACAAATAATTTATTTTGTATTTTTGAATAAAGACATTTGTACATTCCTGATACTGGGTGCAAGAGCCATGTACCAATGTACTGCTTTCAACTTAAATCATTGAGGCATTTCTACTACTATTCTGCTAAAATCAGGATTTTAGTGCTTGCCATCACCAGATGAGAAGTTCAGAAGCAGCCTTTCTGTGGAGAATAATTGTGTACAAAGTAGAGAAATATCCAATTATGTGACAACCTTTGTGTAATAAAAATTTGTTTAAAGTTAATATTTGTGTTAGCTTTTACATTAAGTTGGAGAGGAGGGACAGCTTGCATGTGTAAAACACTTCACCAATAGTATTTTCATGTAGCTCTTTTTTTGCACACTGAATTGCATCATTGGTAATTGGAGGAATTTTTTAAAAAGGCAGGAGACCTGATGGGGGAAATGTTGGGTGTATTGAGACCTGGTCATAATAGGCAATCTGTTGTTTCTTGTGGGAGTTAGGAGTTCTTGCTGGGTGCCCACAAATGAACAAAGCCTACTAAGTCTTACTTTTGTAAGGGGTGTGCCATTCCAGCATGGAGAATTTGGATATGCTAAGCAAGCACAATATTGAGCTACATCCCAAAGCACTTCATTATTTTTTTTTAAACAACTATTTTTTTTTTTAAAGAGAGAAAGAATATTTTTATTTTTAATATTTATTTTTTAGTTTTTGGCGGACACAACATCTTTGTATGTGGTGCTGAGGATCAAACCCAGGCTGCATTCATGCCAGGCGAGCGCGCTACCACTTGAGCCACATTCCCAGCCCAGCACTTCATTATTTTTTAATAACTTGAAATAGGTTCTGGCTCAGTGTACTTGATGTCTATCTTGAAGTTGCAGAATGTATACCTCTTTTCGTGTGGGAAAGGATTTGACTAAGCTTGGCACTGGGCTGCTTCTCTAAACTAGGCATTGAGGCATGTGTTCTTACTGTCTTGTAATGCAGGGGATTGAACCCAGGGCCTAGTACACAGTAGGCAAGTGCTCTGCTGTCCTTAAGGATGTAAGTTGGGCAGAAGTAGAGTCCCGTTTAAAAAGGAAAAGTTGATCACAGATGAGAAATCTTAAGTCGAAATCTTCCACCTAGTTACCAGAGCAAGGTATTCTTAGTTGAATAAGTCAGATTTGAGGAGACTAAATGACCTGTTATTTAACAAATAAGAGGTCAAGTGAGGTTTTTAGAAAAGGAAGGGGGGTGCTGGGGTTGTGGCTCTGGTGGAGCACTTGCCTTGTGAGGCACTGGGTTTGATTCTCAGCACTGTATATGAATAAATACAATAAAGGTCAACAAAAATTTTAAAAAATGAAGAAATGCCTTAATATTAGGATTTGTAGGAAGAATTTATCTTCTAGGTAATTGTTTCAAGAGAATTCAAAAAGGCTGCAGCCAGAGAGATGTGGAAATTTCTTTTTTTCTTAGCCTTAAGTGCAAACACCCATGGTCATACTTAATGGAATTGTGTAGACCATAGTCTTAATCCTTTCCATTCTACTTCTTTCAAAGTAGAAATGATTAATAAACCCATTTTTAGGCCAGGCTCATGACAAAAGATGAAAGGGACTTTAATCCAACCTCCACCTCCCAAATATCCAATAGAAAAAGACAATATCTGGGCTGGGGATGTGGCTCAAGCGGTAGTGTGCTTTCCTGGCATGTGCAGGGTGCTGGGTTCAATCCTCAGCACCACATAAAAATAAAGATGTTGTGTCTACCGAAAACTAAAAAAAAAAAAACATTAAAAAAAGAAAATCTATCCATGAAAAGCATGTTCTATCTTCTGTGATAACAGAAATTTGGGGTAGGTTCTAGAAAGGGGCAGGAATACCAACAGTATTTAGTCAAGATAGTAGAGCACAGCCTCGCACGTGAGGCACTGGGTTCAATCCTCAGCACCATGTAAAAAAATAAAGGTATTATGTCTATCTACAACTAATTTTTTTTAAAATTATTAAAGATGTCAGTGTGGGTAAGAAAACAGGTATTTATTTAGATCTCTTGAAGAAACCTGCTGCAAGTCAGTTCATGGACATTCCCTGGGAAACCACTCACAAAATGTCAAGAGAGATTGACCTGAAGAGAAAAGCAGCATGGAATGGCCTTACTGTGAAAACAAGCAGGATTTAATTGCCTTTCTGCCAAGGATCTATATGTACGAAGGAGGGGCTTTTCAAATAAAAATGTCCGGAATTATGTAGAGAGGGGAAGCAAACGATGATCCAGTATTTAGCCCCAATCATGGAAATAAACCTGGATAAAACAGGAATAACCCTTGGGAAATTAGGGAGTCAGATCCTGCTGACTCAGGAAAATTCATGAGGAAGTAAAACATTTCAACTTTAAATGAAATAACCCCTGCTAGGCTCAGAGTTTGGAGCATCCAAAAACCTTTAGTTTGGGGCCTATGATTTATGTATCTTCCTAGTTCTTACAGCAACAAATTCAGTATGATCATTTTCAAACTTGGTTAAATGCCGGGACCTATCTATGTTGGGAGTTAAGATGCCAATTGTGGTGCTTACCTGTAATCCCAGTGACTCAGTAGCACTGCAAATTCTAGGCCAGCCTCAGCAATTTAGTGAGATCCTGTCTCAAAAAATATAAAAGGGCTGGGGATGTAGCTCAGTGGCAAAGCATGGCTGGATTCAACCCTCATACTTTAAAAAATGAAACATTACACAGCTGTAATTCCAGAGACTCGGGAGGAAGAGGCAGCAGGATTGCAACAATGACGCCTACCTGGCAACTTGGACCTTGTCTCAAAATGAAGGACCGGAGATGCTCAGTGCTTGCCTAGTATGCATGAGGCCCTGGGTTCAATCCCTAACAACCTCCCCGCAAAATAATGGAAACAGTCTTCCTAGGATACTATGGTTTGTGATGGGAAAAAAAATCAAATGGATCTAGAACAGTTATAGCTTGAGAGCATGAATACTTTCAAAAACATCCAGAGAAGTCATGCATTGGTGCACATGGGTAATCCCAGCTACTCCAGGGCTGAAGCAGGAGGATCACAAATTCGTCAGCCTCAACAACCAAGATCCCAACTCAAAACAAAAAGGACTAGGGCTGGGAGCTGGGGTTGTGGCTTAGCGGTTGAGCACTCACCCAGCACGTAGCACATGCAAGGCCCTGGGTTTGACCCTCGCCACCACATAGATAAAAGTATTGTGTCCATTCACAACTAAAAAAATTCTATACATACATATAAAATAATTTAAAAACCAAGAGAATTTTATAAATTGGATTTGCAATTTTAATTAAATGTTCAGAAATCCTTAGGTTTGCAATATTTAAATGCTCAGGGAAATTTATTTTGCTAATTCCATATAGTATGTGAATATTTAAAGGAATGTTTAAATTCATAAGATTAATAAATTAAGTATTAAGAACAAATAAAATTATTCTGCTCCCTGTTCCAAGAGAAAATATTAAAAAACGATTGGCCTCACAAACAAGGAACACATAAGGAACTCCTGGTCACTAAGGGAAAAGAGTAACAGCCAATACAGTGTAGTACTTAAGTGTTTGTGAAGGGAAGAAAAACAGATAAATCTAATTAGAAAGACTGAGCCTGAGAAAAGAGAGCAAGAGTAAGGCAGAGAACTAAAAATAGATTTAAGGGAGCACCTACACTGCAAACTTCGACTACTCTTGGCTCTTTTCTAACTGCTAAGTGTTTGAGTGCTTGTCCCCTCCAATCAACTATAAAACAATGACATATTCTGACACTACAAATTAAAAATCTAGCTCTCAGTCACCCTTTCTCAGAAAGCCGCAAAAGGATTTCCTTCAGCATTAGGGAGTAAATAAAAATTTAAAAAGGCCAAAAGATTCAGGAAATAGGGGCCCAAAATTAGAGAGATGAAGGAAATCCTACAACGACTGCAGGAAATCCCTAAGATTACAGCTGAACAACATCCTAGAGAGCAACCAGTTCAGATTGGAGCAGGAAGATAAAGGCTTGGCCTACAAATAATTGTGTTCAAGTGACTTGAACACTAGAAGTCTATTATCTCCCAAAGGAGAAGTGTAAAGTTGGTACTACAAGGATGGTGTTAAAGAGTTAGCCTCTCTGAAATAATTTGGGTCCTCTCCATAGTAAAAAGATGGAAGATGTAGCCACAAACCTCGGGTCCTCAAACAGTAAAAAACAACAACAACAACAAAAAAAAAACCAACACCACACCAAGGAAGAGAAGTTCCTTCTACAGAGAGAATAATTTTACCAAGCAATCCCACTGCTATAAATCTTAGATACCACTGACCAGGTAAGTTTATAAAGTTGGTGTTTTCTTTCCCCTTAAAATATGTGGCTGGGCATGGTGGTGCATGCATATAATCCCTGCAGCTCAGGAGGCTGAGACAGGAGGATCCCGAGTTCATTAAGCAACTCAGTGAGACCCTGTCTCTAAATACAAAATAGGGATGGGGATGTGGCTTAGTGGTTGAATGACCCTGAGTTCAATCGCTGGTAATGGCCCCTCTCCCCAAAAAGAAAAAAGAAAAAAATATGGAAAGCACAGATGACAAATTTTAAATCAATAAGTCCTGGTCTCAAGACTGTTGGACCAGGTCAGGCAAGATACAGGAACCAGTGATGTGGGGATTTTAACCTGTTTCTACCACTTCTTGTGACATTAGTCAAGGTTACTTAACCTCTCCATCTCTTTCTTTGTACTGTATGTAAAATGGGGATAATAATAGAATGTATTTGAAAGAGTTACTATGTCTAACACATAGTACTATATAAGTACACAAAACAAAACAAA